AAAAAAAAAAAAAAAAAGAAGAGAAAAATGCCAAGAAAAAAATCATAGAAAATATTGGCCTCAAATTTGTCAGTCTACTTAATGAAGGTTTCAAATAAGTGAAAAAACAATAACCTCAATTAGTAAGGGAATAAATGGCTAATAAATATTTTTTAAATGTTTTAGCAAAAAAGAATAGGAAAACCAAGGGAGGTTGGGGGTATACCTCAGTAGATACAGAGGATACTTAGTGCCTAAAAGGTCCTAGGTTTAATTCCCAGCAGCAGTGGCAGCAGCAGCAATAATAATAATTCTGTCTGAGGGATCTGACCCAAAATACTATTAGCAATACTATGTGCAACACATAAAAGTTCCAGCACAGATGTTCAGCCAGGGTTGCTGGTGGTGACTCCCCCACAAACAGCTGAGAGGTCTCATGGCAAGAGGTAGCTCTGTGACATCTGTGTGGCTTTACCTGTTTAAAATTAAAACCCTGCTGGGCATGGTGTCACACACCTATAATCCCAGCACTTGGGAGGCTGAGGCAGGAAGATTGCTGTGAGTTCAAGACCAGCCTGGGCTACACAATGAGTTCAAAGCCAGCCTGAACTACATAGCGAGACTCTGTCTCAAAAACAAACAAACAAACAAACAAAACTATGCAGTGTGTGATGCTGGACTGGGGTGTGGTCCAGAAAAAGGACAGGAAAACAGTGGTCCAAGTCTGCACAGCGGCTACAGCAGGCTATTAGAACGGCGTGGGTGTTAATTTCCTGGGTCTCATGCCAATGCGTAGCTAAGTGGGACGTGAACAGCCCGGGAAGCTGCGTGGCAGGTGTGGGGTCTCCTTATACTTTTTCACAAATATTTTGTAAACCTGAAATTATTTCAAAAATAAAGTGTTTACATGTGGAAAAGGTCGGTTGGGTTTTTTTTTTCTTTTTCTTTTTAACAACATGGGTGCTGCAAATACTGTTGGCTGATTGCTCCCCACTCCCCTCCGTACCCTGGGACCTGCGCTTTGCCCACTCTGCTCTTCCTGCAGCTGCAGCGGGGTCTGTCCCAGATGGAGGGGGCTGCGGATCTGGATCGGCCCACCTTGCCGGGAAACCCACGTCCAGCCAAGCTATTGGTTAGATCCAGTGAGGTGACGCAACCCTCGCCATCAGACTATGAGAGCAAATGTTTGCATAGCGCACAGCCTGGGCCGGGCACTGTTGTAACAGCCCTCACAGCAGCCCGAGAGTCAAATACCGAGAGCCCGACTCACGGCTCTGGGTCGTGCAGTGGAGGCAGGCCGGAGGCCTTTAGGGAAGTTTTCCTTATTCTGTTCTGTTTGGTTCTGCTCACCCCATC